GTGTACAGTGTCTATAGATACCCAGAAGGGTGATGATGATGATGATGATGATGATAAGACTGTTTATTCTCTAATTAACCATATTATTGTGGCAGAAGCAGAAGCCTTCATTTCTTTTTTTTTTTTTGTTTGTTTATAGCTCCTTATGGTCTGGTGATAAGGGGAAGACAATTTGTCAGCTTTTAAAATTAAACCAAACATATCAGTGAATCCGACTGTTGTGCGTTTCGGTTTTCCGGATGCTGCAGCGAAAACCGACTAAATTTGGGAATCTTTCTTTGGCTTTAATTTTTAAAAAGCTCAGAGGCTTATGGGGAGGAGATCAAACCGATGCTGAACATGACTTTAGGCAAGCGTCTCTGACAGCTCACTCCTCCTCTTCCCATGTGCACCAACATCTTTAAACAGAGTGTGACATGCTAAACGAAATCCTCACAGTTTATCAGTGTTGGTTTTATTTTACTGGTTAAACAGTGTCACCTTGATGTGAGGATTTAACTCCAAGCAGAATAGCTGCAGAAAGCAAGGCAGAGTATTAAAAAAACAACCTATTCCCCTGCTCTGCTTTTCCACTGTGACCGCGTCGCCGTTTATCTGTTGTGATGCTGAAAATAACAAATGTGCAAAAACATTTCTGCTGCGTAAAATGTAATTTTCCTGCAGGAAGAAGAGAAAAACACTGAGTCAATGACAAATTGCAACAATTTCTTTACCAGTTTGCCCTAAAATTCACCATCATATGTGAAAGGGTATTAAGCTGATTAAGTGGTGTGAGTGTGTGTGCTATATATCCACTATCAGAGTAAGCAGCTGCTTCTATCGGCCTCTCCAGAAGGGCCTGCTGTTCAGCCATCTGGTTGACTCCTGGGCTCAAATCAGTCTAAGCTTCACACACGCAGTAAAACATGGCAAAGTGAAGAAAAAAATAAAAAGTACTCTCCTTGAGCAGAAAGCAAAGAGGGGAAAAAAAATCTGTCCATGCCCTTGAATCCCTGGGATCTTTAAACTGTCAGATAAAAAAAAGCCCACAGCTTGATGCATAGCTTCATAATCATCTTAATCTTCTAAAAACATGCAACTAAAACATTCATGTCTAAAGATAGCAATGAGAATATCTGCACAGGCTGCTGGTGAAAGTGCCGGCTGGCTGTGCCCTACAGGGAAGCAGCAGAAGCTCGGGAAAACTTTTCCCTTCGTTCAGATTCTCTCATCAACTTTGCTGCCACATCCCATCCCCCAATCATAAAAACTCACACTTCAGATTCTAAACCCGGAGAAAAATAACTAATATAATAAGTTTCTCCACTTGTACAGTCAGTAAAACTTCTGTAAAGTTAAAAAAACCCAAAACAGCTGGAACAGGATACAGGTTTGCACAGACTCTCAATGTTTACGTGCAGTCAGGGCCGGCGAAGGCTTTTCAGGGTCCAAAGCAGATTTTAATTTGAGGCCCCCATACTAACATGTCAACACCAGATACTTCATTATTCCTTGGCGACTCCATATGTGTAACATGCCTACTACTATTAGTGTAATGTGCAATTATCTGACATCATACTTATCATAGCCTTTGATTTTAACCTCACAGGAATAGCAAGCAAGCAAAGATGCTCTAATTAATTCACATTTTGAAATGCAGAGTGGTATTTAAGTGTGGCATGTTCATTTAACTATTGGAAGTAACATTTGCAGACAAACACTGAATTAACAGTAAACAAGTTAGCAGGTTTAATATATTTTGTTAGTAAAATTTGGAAGAGATGCGTAAAATGTACAATCTATCACTATGGAGTAAAATCGAATGATGCTTTTGGGCCCCAAGCAACCGCTTAGCTCACATGTGCCTTGGGCCGGCTCGGCATACAGTGAATGTGCGCTGTGCACTAGGAGCAGCAGATGATTGGAAGCTCATGGAGTATTTGATCAATTATGTATTTAGCACACACATTTGATATGTAGGGGGATTTTTAGTTGGCATAGCAACACAAATAAATAACCAGAAATATACAAATAAGGAAAAGTTTCTTTCATTTTAGACATTAAAGCTAAAAGTCCATAAAAATCTAAAGATAAATGATTTATTATTTAATTTTAACCCACATTCACCTTAATTCAATAAACAGGCTCCACCTGCTGCTGACTGTCAAAGATAAAGTAATTGAAGGCAAACCAAAGAGGTCAGATATTCTTTGTTATCTTCTGCTAGTATATATCTCTGTTCGACCTTTACTGCACATAAGTCATTATCTCAGCCGAGTCAAGGTCCACATTAGATGGACTCAGTGTGACGCAAAGAAGCAGCAGTGCAACACACAAAGGAGTCAATATTTTGACAGCTGAGGAAAAGTAAATGTTCGGTATTTAATTAAACTATTAGTGAATCTTTTCATCAGATCTGTGCAGAGGCCGACTGACCATCAATGGAAAAATGCAACTCTGAGAGAATCAGGCGCTCTTCCTTTCTTTTGCCCTAATTCCACTCTAAATAAAACACATAACATACATTTTACACAGATAAATCAACCTGGCTGCCGATAGTGACTCCATGCGACTTCACCAACTTTCAAGGTCAGCTTATTATAAACAACTTTGGGCTTGTCTTTTTCTAAAGTTACTTGTAAATCTCATGAGTTGCTGGTGTTTTGGGCTCGTTTTTGAATGTGAGGTTTGCTTATCTGGCCTTGGTTTTCTTTGAGAAAAACCCATAAAAACCTACACCAGCTCCCCACAACAAACCAAACAAGAGCAGTTTGGTTGTCTCTTCCACGCCCCCATTTCCTGGTTATTGCGCCTGCCTGAATTGACTCGGCACATCCCAAGAGCCCAGAGTGACAGGCACACGAGTGATGAGACAGCATGAGAATGAGTCGCAGTAAGTGGGAAAAATATGGGGAAAAATATAATAAATAGTGAAAGAGAGCATACTGAAACGTCTCAAAGGCAAGTTGCACTGAGACATATTGCATCAAGAAATATGTGCCCACCAAGCTAAGAAGCAATATATATATATGGATAAATAAAAATGGCACCTTTCTGTTCAATGTGATACGTCTGCAAAATGCACTTTAAAAGTATAAATAATTTAAATAATTTAAACTATTTAAAATTCTTATCAGAAAAGTGTTTAGAATAATTTTGCTGTTGCTAATGTATAATGTCATAGTGAGTGCATATATGCCAAACAGCCTCTATTTTACACAATATGGTGTGTTGACCGTTTCCATGGATTGTCTCCATAGAGCTGGTTGCTTGTTTCTCACAAGATCTGCCAACACTGGTGAACATTAGCTTCTTCTTTGTTTCCAGCTTTAAAAAAATGCATATTTATGTTTCAATTCCAAAATAATTTTAATGTATTTAACATATTTAGCAGATTTTAGAAGTAATTTGTGTTCCTATCCCTAAACATATATTGTGGAGGTTTTTCTCCTGTGCTTCAGCTAGCTTGAGCTTTTCTTGTTGCTGCTTAAGACACAAAAAGTGACAGTTGTGAGTATTTAAGCACTTGTTTTTGTACTTATAATGTGACTACACTTCATTATATCATAAATTCAGACACTTTAGATAATGTGTGATTTCTAATCAACAAAAAGTCAAACGTAAACAGACAGATTATCTTGTTTATTTGCTCAACAATAGCTCCGGTTAAATGATAGTTGCCTGTCAGTATTTTATGTTTCTGTCCATATTCTGCGTAGACTAAAGCTAATTTACTTATTCGACGCTGACAAAGTCATGACTTCGTATCAAACTGTTTAAAGGCATAGTGAACTTAGTGTATCCAAATTTCTCAATCTGAAGAAAGTAATCAACATTTATCACTGTCATTATTTTGATATTCAAGTAGAAATAATTTTGATAAAGGAAGTTGAATTTATTGACAGTGAGAAAAAATAGTTTTTGTGACGTGTGTAAATATCTTGTTTAAAATGTAAGGTCTCTAACCTCTTCAATAATTCACTTTCACTTATGACCTGGAACAATTTGTCTTTATTTCGCTGCTGTGGTTGGTGCGTTGTTTGTGCTCTACTTTGACCTCTTTATATAACTCTCTAAAGGTCACTGCATGACTCTGCTTTTCATAGGTATTTATATTTGACATACTGTTTCATCTTTTCGCCTTACGCATTAAGAGAACTCAGGGATCAAAGGTTTCCTTTTTACAGTTAAATTAAATCTTTGTTTATCGTCAAATTTCCCGGCTACATTCAGTTTTTCTTGGGAGAAGATATGTCATTTTAAATTTTCTGTGGTGCTGCAAATGATTCAGATTTCATAGAACGTTTTTATTAATGTTCTTCTACCTGAGGGAAGTGGTGAGCTTGAGAGGTCGGACTCCAGGGGTGGCGAAGCGAAGCGAGTTTCTGTAGGTGACCTGCTGAACGGCTCGGTTGAAGCTCTCGATGTCGTCTCCCTCCAGCACCAGCACCGACTGACTGGGGTTCACATGGACCTGGAAGGACAAGTAATCGACATTTTACCATACAGGTTACCCCTCTGTGAAATCAAATTAGACTTTTAACCTTCAAAGCAATACAAAAATTTAACATGTAGTGCCTTGGAAATGTATTCACATCCTCAGATTTTGACACATTACAACCACAAAATCCCATTTATTTTTCAGTGGATTTTATTTCAAAGGCCAACAGAAAGTAGAAAATAACTATGAAGAAAATGGAAATTGTATAAAGCTTTCTATAATCTTTCACAAATAAAAATAAGAGAAGCTTAGGGAGTATTTCTGTACAGCTACATACCCCATAAATAAAATCCAGTGGAAGAAGCACCCTTGAAGTGATCAGTAACCTCATAGTCTGTCAGTGAGACACACAGCAAATCTCTAAAACTATGTGTAATTTTCCCATAATTTGCAGTAATAGTGCACTTCTGGATTATGGGTACTATGGGAAACACAGTGAAATCCACCTAGCTGTTTTTTGGCAATAAGTTAATGATTTTTGGTGTCTGGAAAATGAATTGTTTCAAAAACCTCCAGATTAAGTCACATTGAACGGTCCATTACCTAGCAACCCAAGCCAAGCCTAGCCCTGTCACCTAGCAACCCAAGTGGAGCTCTAGCACATTTTACCACTGTATATGCTGCACAACGGCTGCTGGAAAAGACTTATTCAGTTTTTTGTTGCAGAAACCACTTGTTGGATTCTTGTTGGTTGTGCAGACAGTTCAACTTCTGCTTTTTAAAGATATACGGTTGTATAATTTGCAGTTTGCAGACATTTTCATTTGAACGTGTAAATAAGTCGAAACAGTTCATTCTGATAGCTCAATATAAGTAGAAATGACCAGACTAAAATCTGATTGTCTAAGAATGATTTTGTGCAAAAAATGTAATGATCATGTTTCGTGTATTCTACTGACATATCATCACATGTTCAAGGAAGCATAATAGGTTACCTAAATTTTAAAATCAACTTGTTTTTTATGGTTTAATCCAAACAAAAGCAGAAAATATCTCAGTAGAAATTCAGGCATTTCGTATGTTCACCAGCGCCTGCGGCAGCAAACACCTGCAGCTCTCCTGAGGCGTTACCTTCATCCCAGAACCCAGAGTCTCCAGGTCTCCGAAGTCCAGTCCCTCCCTGCAGGCGTACAAGCACTCCACCACACTGTGCGGCTCCACGCTGCCAGGACGCACAGTCACCCCTGACAGCAGGCCGTGGTAACCACCCACGAACTTCACTAAAGTGCAAAAACACGTGATATTGTCTCACCAGCTTGTAATTTGCACTTTGTTGTTGCATCAGCAACAGGAAAGACAATCAGCTTAGCGTTTCTTTGAAACAAGGGAGGTCACCTGAGTCTTTTCCCTCTGGGATTGTGTTGTTTAGTATCTCCTTCTGCTTCTCTTCGGGTTCTGTTGGGAAAACCACAGAGAGAGGCAGAAAAACAGAAAACAATAAGCCGTACTGAGACAGACACTTCAAAGGAGCATGGTGCGAACAGACAGAGGGTGCGAAGATACACAGAAAGCAGGAAAAATACAGAAACAGACTATAAATAAATACCACAAGCATGCAGAATGAGAAAAATATAGTGGATCTTCAAAAATGCAACGTCTCCTCATTATCTGGCAGCAGCTGCCACCACGCAAGCAGCAGACACAGTGGATGAAACACTGAACGTGCGTATGTGTGTGTGTGTCTTTTCTATGGTAATTGGCTGCCAGAGCTTCCCATTTTAACAAGCGGTTCTGCTTTAAGTGTCTCTGAGCTGCCTGCCCCCTGTGTTGTTCTACTGCTCTAAATAATTGATAACTCATTTATATTATTAGGCCTTAAAGACAAGACGCAGCAGCCACACTGAGTAAAATGAGGAACGCGATGTAGTGGGTCCTCACGATACGTCATTAGCCGCAGCTGTCTACCTTTGGTGGTGATATTTGTTAAAATGACATTTCAGCTTTGGATGAAATTAAAAATGAAAATACAAACCCCAGCAGGCGCCGATGAGCATCCTCTGACGGGGCGCGGGGTTCGGGATGGCGCCGTTGTCATGGATGAGGGCAGGGTCAAAGGTGACGCCGTCCACATACAGCGTCACTGATGGGAACTGGACACTGAGGGACAGATGATGCCATTCGCTGTCACACACCTGTTGGACAAATATAATACAGAACAAACAAGAGCTTCAGAAAACCCTGAGGGAACATCAAAGCTTTTTAATTTTAATTTTAGGAAAACTAAGACAATTTCTGCAGGACAAAAATGGAAAAACTCCTTCTGGGCAGCTGTATTTTTATGAGGGCTGGGACTTTAACACATTAATTTCAATTAATTAATTACATCACAATGAGTCACATTTTTTAACATGCAAAAGTCCTGAGACATTTGTATTGTGTTTCTGGTACGGCAATAAATCCGATACACAAACAGTAATGACGCCACTTCTCTTGGCCAACGTGGGGTTAATTTTTCCTTCAAAAAACTGATGGGTCTGATGGGACACTGGAAAAGATTGTTGTTATGTTCAAGTTCCGCTAAATGAAGTTATTCAAGTCTAAAATAGCATCTTAATGCTAAACATGGTGCAGCAAGCACAGCTGAAAACTGAGGTCAGGAATATTTTGTCAAAGTTACTTGAATGAAAATGTTTCCTGAAACACTTGAAAGTTGAATAACCCTCTTGCTTTTGTGTGCCCAAAAGTAATATGTAAATATCAATGTAAATTTAATTTAATGTATATATCATTAAATTCAATTAAATTTATTTATGTTTCTTTATTTATACGCAAAAAAGAAGCACAGAAGAACTGATCTAGTAATGTTGAAGAAAAGCAAAAAGTTAATAATTAGGGGAGGAATCGGGAAAAGAGTCAAGTTATCATCAGTTGGAAACACTTCAAGCGTTTGGCATGCCGATGTGAGTGATGCCAAATGCAGCGCTCAGTTGGCTTCACTCATTTGTGGTTGTTGGAGCACTCTGCTATGATGTCTGCTATGCTATGCAGAAAAAGCTTCTGTGTAGCATAGCTAGAGATTAGAGACATTTGTGTAGCATTTGCTGAAACCGAAGCAGTGGAAGTTAATATAATACTAAGTTAATATGATGTCTCTAGTCTGAGCTCATGCTGTTCTTATTACAAGATTAGATGTGGAGAAAAGCTATATTTGAGCGATATTTACATAAAGTAGCATATCTCTGTACACCCCTGAAAAGATAGGCAACAGTGTGACAAGACAGCTTTCTTGAACTGTTCATCCGCTGGACATAGTTTTTAAGCGCTGACACTTCTTTGTTCTGATCGACTTTCCTCATTTATTTAGGCACTCACTGTACGACACACTGCCAAGGTGAGAAACAGGACTAGAGTAGAGAAGACAAGAGGAAAAGCAGCAAAAATTCATTAAAAAATATTAAAAGTCTTTACAAAGCTTCAAGGACTCATAATAAAAATCACATTAGGAACTACAAAAAGCACTGACTCAATTGAAAGATCACATAACTGTGGCAAAATAAGGCATTTACTTTCATCCAAAAGCCAAATAAGAAATTATCTGTAAGTAAAATACTTGCTTATATACACTTTCCACATTTTACTGAACATTTCTTTTGCTCTCAATTATCCTTGTTTTAGGTTTCTTTATATAAACAGACACAAAAGCACTGAAAAAATGGCGAGGGAATTATAGAGATAAGGGTGGGGGCTGGAGGGGAGAAAGACTGGGGTAACAAGATAACACAGCTCAGACAGAAGGCTTTAACAAATCTCCCCTGTATCAGCCCAGCTTCTTTAATCTGAGCAACTTCAGTCTGTCTGAGACCAAAGCTTCAGACAAAACAACCCTCCATCCCCAGAAAACAAGCAGTCATGCATCAAAGTGTTAAAAAAAAACCCCAAACAAACAAAACAAAAAAACACTGTGAGCAAAACTTTTATCATTTTTCTGAAGTTAACTTCTAGTTTTGACTTGGAGAACTGGAGACTCCCTACTCCAGACTCCCTACTCTAGAGTCCTGGGCTCTATTATGCCAATTTACGTGAAATTGTAGCTTTTTTTTCTTTTAGATAGCGTATGTAAATATCTGGCTTTAAGTGTAACCATCTTATGTTTCATACCAGAGGTGGGTTGTAACTAGCTATATTTACTTGACTAACTTTTTTTTTACACCATGCTTTTTATTTTTACTTGAGTTATTTTATTAAAAGCTATCGCTGCTCTTACTTGAGTGAAACGTTTGGATACTCTTCCCGTTATGAGTAACTTCATTGAAAGAAGTACAAATACATTAACCAAAAATGTGTGATGCAGACCTACAGAACTGATTTTTGTCTGTCTGATGACGTCATTGCAAAATTTTGAATCGGATGCTCTGAACAGTTACTTAAGTAGACGTTCTACCAAATACTGTTTATTTTTACTTGAGTACTTTTCACTTTTATTTGAGTGAAAATAAGTTGAAGCAGTGCTACTCTTACTTCGGTACAAATTTTGTGGACTCAACCCATCTTTGTATGTGCCCAAAAGTTTGATTTTAGTCGCATCCAACCAAACCAGTTAGTTCCAGTTTAGCAAAATCCACATGTTGACTTTTGTGATGGTAGGGCAAATCGGTTGATGTGTAATAAATAATAAAAGGTTCTTATAAAGAACAATGAAAGAGCAATGAGATTTGGAGATTATTTGATTTTCCTCACCAACCAACTCGATGTGTTTTATGGGAAGATAAACCTCTAAGTCACATCATATTTATATTTATGCTCCCTGTGAACAGAAAGTCAAGGAATCAAGATATCAATAAATGTGCCCCAAGTAATTTGATTAAAAACAAGTATTTTGTAAACACACTTAATAAATTAACTCAAATCAAAGGGTCAATTTTTATAAATTTTCCAGCTATTTTACTGCAATAAAAGATTAATTTAAGGCTTTTTACCAAAGCTGCTAGTAAACATGGGCAACTGCTTGACAAATACAGTAAGGTCAAATATTTTGAGGAATAGATGTACGTTAAAACTTAATCATCCCTTAAAAATGTTGTAAAAATTAAATCTTTAAAAATGCCCATCAGATATGTGAACAGCACACATATTAAATAAATTAATGGAAAATTAGTTTGCTTGCTGATTGCACTTGCTGCTTGATTATTTGTTGTTTTTTTGCATGTCTTTGTACTGTTCTCTGTTTATAAGATGTAGTTATGAATAAAGAAATAGATACATTTAGCATGGCAATCATTATTTTATCAGATGAGAGCTTCATCCCTTCTCACTGCAACTATTTTTACATACATAAGGGAAATTATTAATCACGGCCAAAACTGCCGACGGCTCTCATCTGGTGATGAGGAATATGTGTAAGGTAATGAAATCGGAAACTAAAAGCAAATATCTTCTTTATATCCAGCTGAGAATGAATGTTAAAAACGGAAGAAAAAGCTTCATGGTCGATGCACAAATTGAATTCTATCTTGGCTTCTATTATCCTTTCACAGGTAGATAATTGCACAATCCGTTAGTCAGACTGCAGCTTCAAAAGATGGATGATACACACAGCATGAACCGTTTAAATTAGGCAGTTACCCTATAAAAAGCTTTACAGATAAGAGAAAAAACAGGCTCTATCTTCATACTGCACTATGTAACATCAAAGATTATACATTAAGCGTGCTGCAGAAAGGAAACGAACTACTAAACTTCCTCAAATTCAGTCAGAAAGATAGAAATGCAATTAAAAATAAAGGTTTTTCCAGGACCTGCTCCAGCTTCCAGAGGAACTTGACGGGCCGTGCGGCCGAGACATCGGGCCAGTAGAAGAGGGAGAGGCGGCAGCCGTGGACGGAGAGCGAATAATGGGAGTAGGAGTCATCTGTGGAGCAGAGGAGGAAGAAAATAATTGTTGGATCTGCTGCTTGGAGAATAAAGAAAAGAACTGACTCGATTTAGAGCTGAATCGTGAGAATTTCGATGCAGAAGAAAAGGTGGTTGAGTGGGTTGTTTATGTAAATCGAACATGAGTGACACTTTTTGTAGCTGTGGCTAGATGTATTAGCTTTCCTGGTTAAACCTTCAAAACCACAACAAATCCCAGAGATTAAACGAACCGTTCTTTACGGTGCTGCACACAATAGTCTCCTCCTCTTTGCGATTTCCTCTGGACTGAGTGGCTGAAGGCTGGATGTTGGCGCCGCCCCGACGCATCCACAGCTGCAGGGTGAAGTGGTCGCCCGACAGAGCGGACACAACCGAGTTGGGAACCACCGCCACGTGATTCGACCCGTTGAAGGAGAAGACCAGAGAAGAATCGGAAGAAGGGAGAGTGGGCAGAGCCGAGGTCCAGTTGGCTGCTGGAGATGGAGGTGGGAGAAGATCGACTTCGCCCCTGACGGCACCTAATCAAAAAATATAAAACAACTCAATGGAATTTGACTGTTATTTCTTTTTCCTTCTATGGTTAAGGCAACCAGTTATGCTTCCTTGAACAGGTTGTTCATTACATTTTTCACAAATCATTCTTAGATAATGAGATATTAATCTGGTAAATTCTACCTATTTCACTCCTGTCAGAATGAGTCTCTTGTCACTTTAAATCCAAATAAGCTGCCGCTGGCCACGTCCCCAACTCAACATTTACCCTCGCATGTGACAATGGCTGCAACAAAATCTGCAATTATACATCTTTGAAAAGCTGAAGGAGAGTCTTTTCCAGCAGCCATTGCAGTAAAAACCTGCTGACCAAAGGTGCTAGAGCTCTGCTGGGGTTGCTAGGTGACGGGTGGAGTTCCGGTGGGGTTGCTAGGTAAAGGGCCAGGCCTCCTCTGAGTTTGCTAGGTGAATGGCAGACCCTGACGTTACATAATAGAGATTTTTGAAATGGCTCATTTTCAAGAAACCAAAAAACAAACTGTATGTTTGTTAAGCACTTTGGCTGCTTTTAGAGACCCAAATGGAAGAACAAAAACGTTCAAAATGTGAAATAAACCAATATTAACATCCAGTTGAATATGATTTTTGGGTCTAAAGTCAAAGCTTACCACACAGTCGGCGAACAGAACGGTCAGAGTAGCTGTCTCTGTCACAGCCCTTCCCAATATGGCCGGTCTGGAGCTCTACGGTGGCCTGGATGTTCCACACCGTTTCCTCACAGGTCTCCAGATGCAGGCTGGGGAACAAGGGGATGCTGCCTGACCCGGGTGTGTACTCCACACGTTTCGTCCATCCTTTAAAGAAAGAAAAAACTGAATCAGAACTTTACATTTTAACACACAACTCTGATATTAAACCCGATGGGAGATCAATCAAATGACATAAGCCTGTAATGCCTACAAACAGACAGCAAAGGTAAAAACTGCAATAAAATAAAAATAACAGAATGACAAGATATCAAAGATGTAAAAAAATATTAGCTCATTTTAAAAATCAGGACAGCTTTGCCGAATCTTTTGAATTGCGATGAATTTCATCACCTCTTCTTTTAGCAACAATCTGATGGAGTTTTGCAAGATAAACAAGATATTTCCCTCATCCTTCATTTCAAACACATACTGACAGATGCTGCATTGGGTCGATTGGTCTCTTTGGTCTGTGCGAGTTTACAAGAATGCTGTATTCAAGATTTATAACTTTCTCTCCGTTTGTTCTTATGCAAAGTAAGTCTGACCTCCAGCTTAGAGTGGATCATCAATTGAGGCGTTGCTGAAATCGGCTTTGCATACTCTCTCTGTTCTTTCATTCTAAAAGAGGCACTCAGTGATTCTGAGTTTAAATCTGTCTCTTTCTGGATCAAAGCTTTTCAAACAGAAACTGCAACCATTACCTTTCAGTATTCTCTTTCTTAATAGAAAGTCTTCCAGGTACAGGTTTTCATTGTTTGTCAGTGTTTTTCAGCTGGACTCACCCATCAACAGAGGTGCTGATGCCATTGGCCGAGTGTGTTTCCATAGAAAGAACTCTTGGTTCAGTGATTTAGTGTTAAATATCTTTTTCTGGGCCAAACTATTGAAGGTGCTGTTAATGCCATTAACTCTTAGGATGTTTTCACTCCTGACAATACATTTGTTGAATTTTCAGCCGTTGTGGTTTGCTTTCATATTGATCTGTGTCAAATGATCCAAACTAAAACCTGTTCACCTCCTCGCCTGTGGGGGCGCTGCACCAAGGACCACATAAGGACATGACACAAAAACCTCTGAAAAAGAGAGCAACTTCCTTCTTCACAAAATGTAAACAAAAATGAAATGCAGCCAGACTTTAGAGATTGTAGGATTTTTGAGTCATTTTTTCTGCTAGCTCTCAACTCTTGTCTTAGTTTGGTCGTATTTACCCAGAATGCCCCAGCGTTATAGTTCGCTTCCTGCTTTTGGAGCGCTCTCTGGTCGTCTTGAATCCACATCCGCATTCGAACCATGACACAGTTCTCTTTAATCAAACCGAGACCTGGATTTTTAGGTGGACTAGAATTCAATATTTTGGTCTACGTCAGAATTTGATTGTTTATTCACACCTCCCTAAATGAACCAGACTTTCTAGCCAAAAAACCAGAGTGCGAATAAAGTGGACTAAGCACGGTTGGTGTGAATGCACCCTTAGTTTTCTACTTTTACCTCAGTGTTTCAGTGTTTAGGATTTTCTATTCTCTCTTCCTGCTGGGTCTCACTAATTGACCAGCCATGTTTAACCTGGTTCTTCTGCACGTTTCTCCCTGTTTGAATTATTTCTCTGCACTGTTGCCACATGCTCACAAAACGATTGACTCCGATAATGTTAGAGACTCAAAGCAACTGACTGGGCTTCCATAGATAGATGCCTGGTGGACAAAGTACTCCACTCTAGTACTTGAGTAAAATATTGACACTCGTGGTCAAATCTTACTCAACTACAGGAACAACCTGCTCGCTCAAAAGTTTACTCAAGTTAAAGTACTGTTTGAAAATACTTAAGTATTCAGAAATACAATTTATACTTTGTTATTAGTGCATTGCTGCATTGTTTGCTGTGTGCTTTTAAATGTAACTTGCTGAAACCACCTGATTTATTGACATGTAGAATCACTCTGTTATAAAAAGTCTACACCTATGACAGCTATTTTCTTTTTCTAATCATTATTTAAAATTTTATTTAAACTGAATCTGATCCAAATTAGAGTCCACATGATTGGAGGAAATTTATAACAGATAACATATGCAGTGAATTGGCATGATACAGATAAATTCAAATGACTTATATTAAATTTAATTACCTCCCTATAACATTACTAAGCCTTAAAACGGCCTATTTGCAACGCAGCTCACGATCTAATGATGCAACCATGATTAAGCTGAATAGCTGCCCACACAATTTCTAACTCAGAGTGGAAATTTCATCCAAAAATCACTGAATGAAACAACCAAATCACACGTCTGACGCCTCCACAGAGTTACTCCAGAATAAAAACTGAGACAGAAAAAAAGAGCCGCCTGCGCCATTGATTACCGATCCAACCGGGTTTGCAGGACGGCTTGACCGTGACGACAACCTGGGCATCAGCCTGAGCGCGATTCTTCCCACAGTCGAAAGCGGTCACCCAGAAGGTGTGAACACGCTGCCGCTTCGAATCCAACGGCTCCGTGTTCTTAATGTTACCTAGGAGACGCAACGACAAAGAAAGAGAGGACATGACATAATGAGACAAACAGAAATAGAAATGGAGGGCCAGTCGCCAACAACAAGCTTATTCAACTGAGTGAAAAACGTCCTGAAGCTCCACATGTGCACTGAGTCAAAACAGGGTTTTCAGCTCCGCTTTCAGGGCGAAAAACAGGAAGATAAATAACATCGAGCAGGATGAAAACAAACGGGTTTTTCCTGCTTTTATAGATAAGCGTGAACAAAGTGAGTATCTGTGAAGGGCTGACAGCACTCTGCATGCTGCCTGACAAACAGCAGGTAGGGAAAAGAAGATGCTTTGACATGAAGAGATGAGAAACAAAGAGAAACACAAGAGAGATGCAAAAATAAAGAGCATGCAGCACAATGGGAACAATAGATCTCTGTGCTCCTATCTGAAAACAGAAAGAAGCTACTCATCCTTTGAGTAAAACGTCCAGATCTGGTCATTTTCTGCAGCGTCAGGCTATAACAGGGTCTCCTCAGCTGCTGGGTCACATTACTGAACTGAACCCCCGGAGTGCAACACCGGACTGTAAATACAGAGAATCTAACGAGGCAGAAACAAAACGGGATGCTCTATTACACCAATACCTCTCCAGTACAGCTGGAGCTGGGACTTTGCGGATGCAGAAATCAAAGTCCGCCCCCACAAAGTCTATTTCAACACTTTTTGTTTATACCTGAGGTTTTAAGTCTCTGCAATTTTCCTAAATTTACCATTTCACAAATATCAATATCTCAGCAGTGGCTGCTGTTCGATCTTTATGCTTTGTTTGTTTTCAGAGTTTAGAATCACTTTGCTGAAATATCTATTTGGCTTCAAAATGTTTCTTTATCTCATATTTTCAGCTGTTTGAAACCACAGAAAGTCCAAAACATACAGACATGTGAAGGAAGGTGCTCTGGTCAAATGACCTGATGTTTAACTGCACTGAAATGCTAAGCGTGGTGGGAAAGCATCATGCAGTACAATGCTTTTCTTCTGCAGGGACACAGAAACGGGTCAGAGTTGATGGGATGGAAGTAAAGTGAAATACTGGAAGAAAACTTGTGAAGGTTCATCTTGGAGCAAAACGATTCCAAGCATACAGATTTCAGATTCCATTCTGTTTCAGAATGGCCCAGTCAAAGTTCAGACCTAAATCCAATTATTTTAAATCTGCGCAAGAGTTAAAACGTAATGTTCACAGACACTCTTAAAACAATCTGAGTGAAACTGAAAAGTTCATCAAAGAACTGTGAAAAGGTGGGAAAGAAACACAGCAAAACACTTGAACCTGCAGCAGTTCATTCAAATGGATTAAATATGAACTTTTTACTATTTCTGGTTAAGAATTTCCAAAAATGTTTTAACTTCTCCACAACTTGAGACTATTTGCACTAATTAGGTGATTTTTGAAGGCAGTTTGGTTTAACTGAATGTTGTTTAGGGTTGTTTTAATAATAATAATAAAAAAAGGCTCCATTCAAACTGAAGACATTTCGTAAAACAAAAAGTGAAAACTAGGGATGCAACTAACGATTATTTTAGTAATTCATGAACCTATCAGTTGTTCTGATGAGCAATCGGATTAAAAAAATCGGCACATTCTGCAGATTTTTTATTTAACCATTTCAGCCCTTCTAAACAATATCAGAAATACATTAAAACATGCAAATAAACAGATAATTTAATTGATTTTTTTAAAAAGGAAAAAGCAACAACACAGCAGCTCTTTAGTGTTGCTTTTTGTGGAAAAGGATACAAAAACAATCTAATAACATCAACCTGCAAAAAGCTCAGACCTTTCTGCTTGAATTAACAACAATGCGGTGTAGGACTAATCTGACGATCATTTTTTGGATCGATTGATTAATAATTGAATAGGAAAAGGTGAGCAATAGGAGATTTATTAACAGAATGTGAACAGGGTGAAGCTTAAACTTTGTCACTTGAAGATTTTTGGATGGAACTTGTTTACATGCAGAGTACTTTCATTTTTATCTTAAATTCAAAATGTTTTGGCTTAATTACTGCCCTAAGTATATTATTTTTGTAGCAAATAGAGTTTTATAAGCCTGAATATTCGGGTTAGTAATTAATTGGTTACTAAATTAGTTTACGGTTCTTCCCATGAACGATTAATTGTGATTAATCGTTTCAGCTCCAGTGATGACTATGCATCAGTTTCCTTCCACTTCCAAATGAAGCACTAACATGGTAAACTACATTCAAACTCGTGATTGTAGGCTGATCAGACTTGTGAGTATGTTGTTGTTTTGCTCTGTTAGTACAGCGTGCAGGACGTGAACCGTCTCACCGTCGTTGTCGATAGCGAAGGGCACGTTGGGAGTGATGATGTCATAGAAGCAGATCTGGCTGTACTGCGGGGAGCAGTCGGCATCCAGAGCCTCGACCCGCACGATCCTGTCAAACAGACGGCCCTCGGGGACCGAAGCCTCGTAGCGACGCTCCACAAACACCGGGGAGAACTCGTTGACGTCGTTCACACGAACATGAACCGTGGCCCTAAGGGAGAGGAGGAAGGGAAGCAGAGAGATGAGGGTTGATATCGCTACAGCGGGGATGTAACACTAGTCTAACTTAGTAAATGATTAATCTATCGATAATTTTAATGTTTGGGCCTCAGGCTGCAGCGTAGTAAAAGCAGGCCTGTCACAATAACACATTTGATAATATTGTTGTTTTGAGACCATCTTAAAGTAAAATATTAATAATGGCATAATAATGCGAGTTCAATAAATAAATATCCACAATAAAACAACAACCAGAAACAATTTAAAAAAATACACACAACAGAAGCCATAGATAAAACTGATTTTAAACTCCCCATAAACAGAATTTACCTTCAAAAAAGGGCAACAGAATAAAAATATTTGAGCTCATTTTAATTTATCATGTGATTAATTGATTAATTACTTATTGTGAAGTAAGAAATACTGCCACCTGCAGGTGGAAGTTAGCATCACTTAAACCAAATATTTTTGGCAATTTTTGCGGAAAATCTGCAATAAACTCATAATTATGCATTCGCCCAAAATTAGAGACAAATATTTGTTATCTGTTGATTTTATGTGAATTTCCACAATCACAGAATTGTAAAAAAAATCTGGAGGGACTTACTGATGTAACAGATAAAAACCGCTTTACTTTGATTGATAAGATCACATTTAACCTTTTATCATTAAGATCCTATTTATGCATCTCTCTGGAGTTCAGAGGGCCACCTAGAACGCCATGGCGGGCCAGATTTGGCCCCCGGGCCTTCAGTTTGACACAGCTTGATGAATCTACTGGCTGCTGTTGTTTAAAAATGGAGACGCTGTAACTAACTTGTGGGATTTCTTGCTGTTGACGCCGTCGGGTCCCTCTCCGCAGTCATAGGCCTGGATGGTGAAACTGTGCTCCCGCTGGCTCTCACAGTCCAGCGGCTCTTTGGACCGGACCAGACCCTCGCCGGTGGAGCGGTCCAGAACCACAGCTTCAAACTGGACGGAACCGGATCCCGAGGGGCCATTGTGAACCCGGAAGCCACAGATTTCACCTGGGTTGAGAGAATATTAATAAAACTGAATTAAACATGGCATTATATGAACATTAAGGTTAATCAAAAAACCTTTGATTTCAGAAAACTCAATCTTTTTTTTATTATTTTGTCCTGATTATTGTAACACATTTATTTTATTTATACGAACAGCGTTCACCTGGCCTCCTTCTGACTAACGAGTGTTGATTTTCTCTTGATTTATAAAGCACTCTGTGGGTCCATTCAATCAGGCAAATTGTTTTAAATTAGTGCAAAATATGTGCATGCGACATACCAATAAATAGCTTAAAAGATGGAGAAAAATGTCTAGCGATTAATTGTCAGCATCCATCAAACTGCAAACGAATTCATTTCCACTGCACACTGTTTATATTTTAATAGCAAAGCAGTTTATTTGCTATTACCTTGTTTACAACGTGGCAGAAACCTATTGGAAAAGGTTTTTAAATGACACATCTCTCACCTCTGTGTTATTACTGGATCTCACTGATTTTGACCAGGTTGATAATAAAACACTGATTAGCTAGAAAAATGGATGGCGCTGTTCGAGATTAGTTCTGATTTTTTCTTGACAGACTAGAACGACTTTGTGTCGTTTGGCAATAGAGTGTATTCTCCAGTTAACAATAAATCAAGCTAAATTAGTTGATTATTAGTCAATAATCAATTCATTTTGATTATTGGAATTAATTGTTTCAGCCCTGTACAAACTCATACAGGTATATACTTTTCCTTTTGTCCTTCATTTAATTTCTTCTGAGGTTGATCTGTTTAGAAAGTCTGTGAGAGTTTTAAAGTCAGATTCCTTGTTTGTGAACGTAATCTTGCCAATAAATCTGATTCTGGTTTTATTCCTGCTTCAAGAGGATCAAAGCATTTCTAACCAGACACACGCTGATGATGTACAACTTTATATTTCACCACTAACCTGAGAAAATGTTGGCTCGTTTAATTGAAAACAGTAATGTTTATCATAAGGGTAAATAATGTATCATTTGTATTCATATGTTTAAACTCTCAGGTTTAGCATCTCTTTCATTTATGTGATACTTTATTACTGTATATATTGTTTTTAGTTCAGTGCTGTTCTGATTAACTTAAAAAAAATAAACATGATAAATGCTTCAGTTTTGGTTATTTTACAGGAATAAGTTGAGGTGCAACTAATCGCAAGAATTTTGTTCTTGCCACTGAATAAATGCAGCAAAATTATGACTATTATAGTTTTTCAATGTGGAATTATGCAATTGAGATGATATATGATTTAGTTAATCCACCACTTAACTGTGATCACAAAACAAGGAAGCCAAGCTAAAACCTCACAGACTGATGCATTTTCTGGCGTCAAACTTTGACTCTGGGAAGAAGGTTTTTCTCTGAAACTGCTAAATTATTAAGCGATGCAGTCCTTCAAAGAACGGAGAATCCCTGTTTATCTCTGAAAAGACTTGGTCTCTGAGGGATCTTTCTTTTTAGACCCACTCATGTTACTGACAGAGGACATTTTCCTCTGTTTTGTTGCTCCTCTTCCTACTTGTTAAACATATTGTTGGAAAAAATGAAGCATCCATGTACTTTGTAACAGTTTCTTTCTTATTTTTTTATAAAAAAAAAAATAAAATAAAAAAAAACCTGGGAAGCATAATTTAAATTCAAGCTACTAAATTCTCCAATGAAGTATCATAACCACTGAACAAGTTAAACATTTCATTATTATTGAAAAACTGAAGTGAACTAATGTGATTTTGAGTACACTGATATCTAGAAATGCCTTTATGCACCCGTTTATCTCAAACGTCTTTTATCAGACACATTAAAAAAAAAAACTGCAACATCTACTGAAAATAAAAATCCTCAGAATAGCAGCAGATTCCTATCGGTTGACAAAAGTCAAAGGTTCGTGCTCAAACAGCTAATTTCCTCTTCCGTTTTGACATCGGCTCAATATATTCCAGAGTAATTCAAGTTGATCTTTCATAATTTGACTGAACATGGTTATTTCCAGGACTCAGAGTGCAAACATGATCACCTTATTTCATCAGGCTGCAGAAAGGCACAGCGCTGGCTGATTGCTCCTGCTGCAGAGGCTTGAATTACACCATGATGGGCTAAAAATAGTGGACTCTTTGACTGAACACATTGCCTTTAATATTTAGGGAGTCTTTAGGGAAATATTGCTGGTGGCTGTGAGTGGTATTATAGCTCCAAATAAAAAAATAAATGAGCGTGTCGTTTACTACTGAAAGCTGAAAGCAATCCAGTAAAAACAAACTGGATCATTAGAGTCATCACTTTTTTTTTAGTCATCACTTGACTAAAAACATCATTGAGCAATCTGAATAAAAATTACATGATTTTCTTTGTCTTGGTGTTTGGCTAGTCAAGCAAATTATTATTTTATTTGCAATGAACAAGTAAAATGACCTTCTTACATTAAATCAGATTTAAAATTTCTGATTTCAGTCATCAAATATAACCAAAATTATTTTATTTTATTTATTTTTATATTGTATTACCTTCTTCAAATTGACAAGTTTAAGTATAGTATGATTGATCTGAATTTAAATTTAATGAAGCAGTTGAAAGGTTATTTCACAACATTTGAGCTAAATGGAGGCACAACTCTGGGTGCGGTTTAAGGCTACACTTCAAACACAATGTGCAATCTGTCAGAAAAATTAAAGTAAAAATAAAGAAAATATCAGTAAGAGAAATATGGGGTCCAGTTTCCAGAAGCCTGAAAATGCCACATTAATCACATGCCACCAACGCCACGGGAATGTCCAGCCGTCATACGGAGACGGGTTGTGTGAAGTTGTGAACTTGTTCTGGTTTGAATGTGTTTATCAACCCAAACCAGAGGTCAGGCCACTCAGAAGCCAGATTACAGTTTGCAAATGCATTTAGGGGCAAAAAAAAATCTATGTATTAATTCATTTTTTTGCAGATAAGCTCTTTGATTTGACGAAAGTGAAGTTTAGGTGTTTGACGTTAATGTCCATCCTTACATCTGGAAGAAAAGGAGGGAAGACGACAAGCCTAAGAACGTCACCTCAGCTGTTAAGTACAGGTGTGGCAGCATCTTGTTGTGGGGCTATTATGCTGCAGGAAGGAAGGATGCACTTTGTAAAACAGACCATGATGAGGAAAGAAGACTATGTGCAAATACAGAGGCAACATCTTGACTTCAGGCAGAAATATGAGGCTGGGCCTCACATGGATCCCTTAGCATAGCAGCAATGAGTGGCCATCAGGAAGTCCCATAAAAAACTGCAGGCCTGACTGAGTTACAACTGAGTTCTGTCAGGAGGAATGGACCAGAACTCAATCAAGCAAATACTTTGAGAAGCTTGTGGAAGAAAACTCTGACACTAGCACAGCTGCAACTAACAACTATTTACATAATCGATTATTCTCATAATTAATCGCATGAAGAAATGGCACATTCTGCAGATTTTTCCTTTCCAATATTAGAAGTAGAAGCAGATAAATAAATAATTAAATTTCCTTTTTAAATAAGAAAGAAAACATCTTCTTGCCTAAAGTGGAAAAATATAGCTTTCATTTAGTGCATGCTTAATCATTTGTAGCAAAGGATGAGTCTGCAGATAAAAAAAATACTTCCAACATCAACATGTAAAAAGGTCAGACCTTTCTGCTTGACTTAACATCAGTATATTTTAAGGCCAACTATTGATTATTTTTTTGGTTGAAGTGATTAATTATTGGATAGCAGAAAGTGTTAAATAAGAAATTTTCTATGCCACTTGAGGAGTTTTGGGAAGAACATATTTATAGTTTTTATTATCTTTAATGTAAAATGTATATTTTTAGTAAAGTTGACTTAATTACTGCTCTGAATGTCATTCTTTAAGCAAATGTCATTTTTAGAGTCTGCATACTCTAGTTATCATTAATCAATTTCTAAATTAGTTGACGATTATTTCAAGAATCATTTCATTACAATTAATGCAATTAATTATATCAGTTCCAGTTTGCAAGGAAATGTATATTAACGTTCCTAATTATCTAATTTCTTAAAATCATAACCAATCTAAAACGGGGAAATTTGTCAGATGTTAGATACTGATAAATAAAAGCTATGTGTTTTTTTTTTTCCTACGCTGTGTGTATAAAAATCATATTTTGATGGATGCAGGCGGTGTTACCAGCGTAGTGAAGCGGAGCGTCTTTGTCCAAGGCGAAGAGAGGGGGATTGAGCAGCACGGTGTTGTCGTTCTCCATCACAATCCCCTGGTACTCTGTCTCGATCCATGGCTTGTGCTTATTGGCTGAGAGAGAAGACCGAACAGGCTTTGGGTTAAATGGAGCAATTACAAGGAACCAATGCATCTATTTTTAACAGTCAATTATGGGGGAGAGACATGGTGAGAGTGTGCACGAGTGAAAAAAAAAAAAAAACCCCACACACAGAAAGTAACGTGTGACCATCGAGAGTCAGATAACGTTCACAGTTGACGTTTTTCCTCCATTTTTATTTCAAGCACCCTCCAGCTCCACAGTCCTGATTTGTTTCCATCAAACAGACAGAGACAGAAATATTCGGCTCTGAATCAAACGCCCAAGGTTCCCTCAGAATCCAACCTTTAATTGCTAAATAATTATTAATCCTTGCGCAGACTGTTGGGCGCTGACTGATCAAAGGCCAAGTTAATGAGCCACAAGGATGACGATTTTACACTCCAGCAGCGAGCGAAAACAAAAGGCAGCGCTCCCTCCCTTCTCTTGTCCCCGATCTCCTAACTCAGAGGCTGCAGAGTTTGAAATCAGACACAAGCACAAGATTTATTTCTTTGTTGTCGCCACAGTGAATTTTCGAGAAAATGAAACTGGAACTAATTTTTCAGTCTCAGAGCCAACAAGAGGAAAATGAAAATAAAAAAAATTGCTTCTGGTTGTGAATCTGATCAAACTTCTTTAACTTCAAACACAGAGCAGAGGATCATTTGAATTCTCTTTGCCTTAAAGCACCAAAGCCTGCTGCTGAATTTAAATATGTTTTTATATCGCTGCTGGAAAACAGCTTGAGAAAAGGTATTTCTTTATGCAACATCTCCTTTAACAGGCACAGTAAAAATATTTTAAATTCATTTCATATTCATTTACTTTAAATACTGTTTGCTTTGTCTTCACCATTTATATACCACTGCAGCTTTGACCGGCAGCTCCTTTTCTTTTGCACATAACTTAAGAGATACACAGATTAAAGCTGCAGTGTTTTCCACTTTACATTAATTTAAAGGAAATTATCCATGATTGTGGTTTATAAACTACAGACTACGATTTAAAATGATTCAGAAATGTTTTAAAGATACTTTGAAAACATTTTTTGGCTATTGCAGCTCGGTATGAGGAATTATTAAGTAATATGATAAAAATATTGGTTACAATTAATCTACACTTTGCTTTTCACTTTCTTTATCATCATGAGTTATCAAATAAGTACATTTATGTCTGTGTTTAAAAAAGGAACGTTTTGAGTTAATTCAGCACCATTTTTATATCGACTCGGTTTCAAAAATGACGTAAAAGACATTTGACTTTGTAATTTAGCACCTTGAAATTGGGTTTCTATCTCTTTTATGTCATAAAATGATGTAAAACAAAAAAAAGAGTCAATTTTGCATAATACTGCCCCCTGAAAACCAAGCAAAATTCTTAATCGTTTAAATATTTGTTTTTCACTTTGTAAATACATTTGAGAGAGAGAAAAAAAAACCTCAAACTCTCAGAGCTATGCATCCCTGCCAGTTTTCAACTGGAAAAATGTCTATCTGGCACCAAAAATTAGTTGCCATCAACACCCAGGCATAATCACAGTAATTCATCTTCTCCTACACCTCCTCTGTTTCCACGCCCGGCTTGTGTGTTTCTTTTTCGGTCATTTATCTCATGCCCTCTGTCCCCCCTCTGCTCATCTTCCTCTCCTCCCTCCCCCCCCCCACCCGTCGCTGCTATGTAGCATTAATCTGAGCATCAGGCCTGTGGATTACATTCGGGATTACAGATTGAGAGGCATCTCGCTCCATCTCTCTGTCTGTCCCCCTTGGCATTGCTCCTCTTTCTGTCACCCTATCCATCAGGCCGCAGCTCTCACCCGTCAACCCCTCCTCATTTGGCCTCTTCACACCCGCACACACCTACTACTGTATGCACACACCAGGCCCTGCATCCTCTCTCCCTGCTGTCACCTGATCTCACGTACCACCTCTCCCTCCTTATCTTCCCCCTCCTGCACGGCTGTGTCAGTTTCATCCGGCTCCCCCTCGGCATGACAATCACTAGCTCCATTACAAATGTGCGCAAATCTTTGTCTGTATTCTGCTAATGTCGAAAAAGAAAAACACAATAATTTCGCAATTGCGCTGTTTTCAATAAGCTGATAAGTCATTAAAAATTATGGCAGCGACGGATGTAAGCACTTACATGAGATGTATTCATAATTCAAACATGGCGATGGCGCTAATCATCAGAGACGTTAGCATCTGAGTTAGCCGTTGGAAGCGGCTAGTACATATGTGCGGTGTGTGGGGGAAATTGTAATCGGTGATTTTACAGAATACGTGTTCAAATTGAAACACAACTTTTTACGAACATTTTCCGAAAAAAATAAACAAAAACAAACCATCATCCTCCTACTACAAACTATAGTCTTCTTCTTCCTTTTCGCCAGTAGTAGTAGCAGCAGCGTCTGGCTGTTGATCACGTGACTCGTGTGACGTAAAGACATCACACATTTTTCAGTTGCGTTTCGGTACAACTGAAAAACCACTCTTTTTTTATATCTCAGAAGGTGCGGTTTTTTGTTTTTTTTTTTTAAATTGGCGACTTCGAACGAATTTATTTTCGTACTCTCAATTTTACTTTATGGAAATGGAAATGCAGCAAGTGAAACAGGAACTGCATTTGAATTCAACATTTTTGTCAACGTTATGCTAATGTCGAAAAAACACAATTTCGTAATTGCCGTGTTTCCATTAAATAGGAAATGAAAATAAAATCACAAATGAAAAAGCCCGTTTATTCATGTACTCAATAACTCATCCTCCTATTACTTCCTGTAGTCTTCTTCGTCGCCAGTAGTAACATCGGGTGTTGATCACATGACTCCTATGACACGGAAAAAGTGTTTCCATTGCAGTTTCGCTGAAAAACCACCTCATCCATTTTTTCTTAAATTGGTGTGTTTCCATTATGCAAATTTCCGCAATGTTATGGTTAGTAGAAAAGCTGCTAGTGACTTGAATCAGACGTTTCTATTACAAATGTGGGCAAATCTTTGTCAATATTTTGCTGGTGTAAAAAAACCAAGCAAAAAAAAAAAAAAAAAAAAAAAAAAAATTTTCAAAAGGGGGGTTTTTTTTTAAAAAAAAAAATTAAAAAAAAAACCCCATTAAATATTTTATA